TAAAAAGAAAAACTTTTAACATGTTTGCTGTTACATGTTTACTTTAAGTCATGCAACTTTACTTATCTGATCAATTAACTCATCCTGTTTAATAAACAGATTGGTTTGTGTGAGAGCCAGTATATTAACTTAGCTCCAGAATATAACATCTTTTGGAAAATACTTCATCTTTCTCTCTTGTTAGATAATACTGAAGTGTGATTCTCTCTCATTACCTGTAGTATAAAGGAAGATGTATGTTGGTAGTACACATTTGTTCCCCCCTAGAGTTTGACAAATTCTTCTTTTCTTCTTCTTATGCATTCACCCCTAAAAGGCCATTTGGCTTGTTGTGCTATGGCTTACAGCTAGGCTGTGATATATGTTCCCTTGACCCCTAATTGCGAGGGCTATACCAAAATCAGCCTCTGATTGGCTGGTAAAAGTAAACCATTTACATGAATGACACTGTTTATTGCTTGCGTGAATCAGTAGTCTTTTAGCTCACTGTACACATCAGTGTACAGTTACATGTATGCATTTGTTCACGAACTCTAGACGAAAAAACAGGAACACTGTTATTGCTTTTCTTGCCAGATATGCAATTTGTTTGTGTTATTAATTTCCTGGACTAGCTTATAGATCTGATGGATTTGGCTAGAACAGTTTCCATGTTTATTCATTCATGATTCATGAACCACTGTAGGTTGATGTGTGGTGAGCTAAAAGATTACTGAATGATGCAAGCAAGGAATGGTGTCTTTGTGGCAAATCATTTATTTTTACTAGCCAGTCGAAGGTTGATTTTGGAGTAGCCCTCGTAGTTGCCTTCTACAACATGCTTATTGCAAGATAACAGCTTTTTCCTCTTCCACGTCCTCAAAAAAAATTGATTTGATAAATTAATTGACAAAAATGTGTCAGTTATATTTTTTGTAAAGGAAGTGAGCAGTATAACATGGGTTAGAGCCCTTGTAAGTTGAGATATAGACATTTTGAGTTCCCTTTGTGAAAGAAATACATTGTGTTGTTCTATTGATGGCGTCCTCTCCCACCCCACAGCCAAGTCCTCGTGCACATCTTGCTGCTGATGTAGTGGATGTAAGTACCTGCCATCTTTGAATATCATCAGTGTGTTTAACTCTTAGCATACCTGCTGCACAACCGTGTTCTTTTGTTTTTACCTGCTGTTACTGTAGGACCAGTTGCCAACTTACCAGGTTTTCTTAGACAGTACATTGAGACTTTTATGGTACTATATACTTAGGGAGCTTGGGTAGTGCAATGACCAGATACTCACCTGTCTGCATGAAGGTCTTTGGTTCAGTATTGTTCAGTTGGCCTTTGATCCCAGGTTGACCCAGTTAAATAGGTACCAGGTCACACCCTGGGAAAAGTAAAGGTGAGCATTAGGACTGCATTACCCACTGAGTCCTCATTGGTTCTATGAACATATGAGTCTCACATCATGTGCCAGATGTGCCACATATATAAGGGTCCTTTACGTTACTTAGTATATACTTAGGTCTGGTTTCCAGTATGAAGACTCCCCCCCCCCCCCCTCCCTGTGAGTCACCTCCAGTGAGTGGCTTATTGGAATATGGTGGGAAATGCATGCCTCCTGCAGTGACTTGTAAAAAAAAAAAACTAAGAGTTAACACCAGTTTTTTTGTGTCAGCACTTTTTGTCTGACTTTAAAAGCCTCTGGCAGATTAACCCATTCATTGCATGTCAGCCACATTTTATTTCTGTGATTTCTTGCTTGACTGATTAAATTATTAAGCTGTTGTGTGACTGTTAACTTGTGTTTATCACACCATGGATATCTCTCTCTTTTCTGTCTTTGGGTTTGCTGCTTGAAAATTTGATGATTCCTGCAACTTCACAAGTTGCAAACCTAAATAGCACAAATCCAGATACCCTGTTCAACCTAAAAAGAAGATTTAATTAGGGTACTTATAACTGCTGCACTGAGTGCTACCCCAGAAAGGTTGTCAACTTCCATTATTCACCTGATTCACCTGTATATTATCATGGAAGCACGGCTCTTCTGATCCAGCAGCTTCTTCTGCATGCTTTGTTCCAAACATATTAGTGTTACTTTTTCTTTGGAAGAGAGAGACGCAGAGTGAGAGGCAGAGTGAGAGGCAGAGTGAGAGGGATCATACTGCATGGGCAACACATGGTCTCTACAACACTGCCCAAGTCTTATACTATGGAGAGGACACAACAGTTGTCCTGAAATCCCATGCTTTAATTGTGGAAGTCAGCGTGATGTTGACTACATTACTCACCCAGTGCCGATTGGTCTATAACATATAGGTTTAGCCCTATGTTCCCAGTACGCCTGAAGCCGTAGTAAAGGGTCCTTTCTTACTTTTAATATATGTGGTAGTCTTTTCTTTTGCAGGCGGGTCTTGCTAGTCATACTTGCCACTGCCATGGGCTATGATTTCCATAGCTCCCTATAGCATAATTTAACGCTATTGTCTGAAAAGACAGAACGGTGTTAACCAAAAACACAGTACTACCATGGCATACAGTAAAGGAAAACTACCATATTTGATGAAATCTATAGTCTAGGTTACGAAATGAAAGATTAAACGTCAAGAAAATTTTTCACAACGGACCTGGGCTTACCAAGCCATTCCAAAACAAAAACATGTTCATGAATTGTTCTGGGAAATAAAGGCAGCCAGTTTGATGTTGGGCACGTCAAGTGCTAATTGATCTGTAAAAATATGGGTCTAGGACAATATACCAAACAAACAAATATATGTGTGTTTGTGTGTGTTAGAGAGAGAGAGAGAGAGAGAGAGAGAGAGAGAGAGAGAGAGAGAGAGAGAGAGAGAGAGAGAGAGAGAGAGAGAGAGAGAGAGAGAGAGAGAGAGAGAGAGAGAGAGAGAGAGACCCATTACTTTTCTGGAATATCTCAGACTGAGTCTTCGAATTAGATTTTCTATCATAGTCATGTGTTAGTGAATACCATTATTTTTTCTATTATATATTAAGTTCATTAATTGTATCAGTAGTTATAGATGGCCTTTTTTAAATATATCATTTATAAATGTCATCTTGCATGCGTAAAATTTCATCAGTAAATTAGTGTAGTATTTATTATTTTGTGAAATAAGCTTATTATTGTCTCACTTGTTAAAAACATTTTGAGCATGCAGTCAGACAAATTTGACATTTTTCTTATCTTTCAAATAAAATATAGTAGAATGTGTAGAAATAAGGGGAGAATAATTCCTACAGTTTATCTTTGTTACTACTTTACACTGAGTCTTTAACAAGTTTCTTTATATTCAAGGCTCCATTGTTCTACATACCCCCCCCCCCCTCCCCCAGAAAGCTGCTAATCTGGCATTGCTGTCTCCATTACAAATCCCCTTAAATATCACTAAACTAACAATTGTGTGCTGGCCAGTCCTTGGCAAGCATTTGATTCTACTCCATAACTAGGAAGCTGGGATGTGATTATATTTATATAATCATTATTATGAAACAAATATTTGGTGAGAAAAATTGATTTTTTTGGGTCATGATTACATCATAATTCTCCTTTAACCCGTAGTAGTCGCATAGCAGGGCCACAGTATGAATCACCTTATAAAATAATTTAAAACCCAGCGGAAATTGGTCATCTAGTTCTCTGCTCCATTCACGATTATTGATTATTCCTTTCATATATATTTTTTTAGTTATTATTTTGTATTGTTTATAAATGCTTTTCTTTTCCAAATTTGTTTGGAAATATATAATTGTTTGTAAAAAAAAATAAAAAATAAAAAAAATTGGTTGGTTGGGGGGGGGGGGGGGGGTCTGGGTCAGGGTCTAGTACAAAGTATTTCCAGGGGAAAGGATTAAAATGCAAAAGCATATTTGGGAACCTCTTTCATGATTCTGACCGAGTGACTGTCTATACTTACAAGCAGGACACTTGCTGATGATGATGATGATAATTGTTCAAAATTGATATAAACAAAGTTATTCAAGTTGTGGACATTCTGTGTAGTTCATGGAGAACCTGTAGTGGTGGTCTAGTTGTATTGTTACAAGTGTATACAGATTAAATGTTGCCTAAATCTATGCCTTATTTCTCTCTACAATGCAGGGTTCCACCCAGAAGAAGCTCACAGGCAAACCATTGTCTACAGCTCATCACAAGGACTACCGCAGCCGCACAAAACACAAGGCAAGTAGCTCCTTACTGCTTGTTTTTCTGTCAGATTTGGTTGATTTCACAATGTCTAGTTTGAGAATGGAGAAGGAGGCAGTCACTGCTGCCTTCGGCTGGCTTGAAAATCAGCTGTACACACATGTTGTGATTGTAACTGACTCACAGAGCATGTTGAGAAAGGTGGAAACAGGCATGCTCCTTGCAGAGTGGCAAGCATCACTTTAAAGGTCCTGGGTAGTCAGCGTCCTTTGGATATTTTCTCCAGGTTATGTCGGTGTGCTGGGAAATGAGCAGGCACATATACTAGCTGGTTCTGCACCACTTGGTGGTGAACCGATGTATGACAAGCTAGATGTTGTGAGGGCCCTTTGGGAGGGAGTGAACAGTGCCGAGGCACAGATAGATCCTTACCGTTTGAGGAGCATAGCACTGCAAGGAGTTACAAGAGGATCTGGTCGATACTCGACACTCACGGGAAAGGCGAGACAGATCTACAATCAGGCAGTTACTGGTACCATCTGAATGTTAACTCTTCGCTTGCTGCTGAAGATGGGAATGGAGCACTTATGGCGGTGTCTCGAGTGCTGTGATGTCGATTCTTAATTATCTTGCTTGTGTGTTTTTGTTGTTGGAAAAGTATGAAATTAATTTGTACCACAGTTGAAATAAAGTGTACAGAGCTTGGAAAATCACACAAAATATGGAACAACTCTATGGAGAAATTATGAACTATGATCAGCTTCACAGGCCACATTAAAAAAGGCTCATAGAAGATCCTATACATCCCCTAAGTAGAACAATAATGAATAAGTGAGTGAATATTGTTTGTGTCAGTTTCTAAACTCTAGTTTTTATCCACACGCAGGAAGATGAGATGGATGTTCTGCCTATTGGACGCCTGTCTAGAGACAGTGCTGTCATGAGGAAGGAAGGCGATCAAGGCATTGTCATGAGGAAGTTAGTTATGGGTAGGTTGTCATCATTAATTATTTTTATTTTATTTTTTAAATTATGATGTGAATGCAAGTATTATGTTGGGTTTTTTTTAGTGGGTCTTTCTTTCTCAGTCAACCACATTTGTCTTTTTCACAGTTCTTTGTACAATTATTTGTTTATTATCAATCAACTGTATCTGTTTCATAATAATCTTTTATTCATTCTCAAACGACCACATCTGCCTCTCTGATGAAAAATTGTGCAAGAAATTGAACACTTGAGATTTTGGAAATATCAAAATTTCTAAATGGCAATTAAAATAGTAGATACTTTTCTGGTGATCTGTTAAAACTTCTAAAAGAGAATATAAATTGACAGAAAACAGCAACTGTAAAAATTAACAATCATTTAGAACATTTTCATTAAATTTACACAAAAAGAAGTTTCTGTGTTGTGTTTATTGTCTAGTTTACAGTCATTTACCCTAACCTGTGTTGAGCAGTTTGCATTTTGAAAATCACAACAAAAGATTATATGTAATCAGTGATCTACTTTTTCTTTTGCAGAAATGCCAGAACATGCTCCATCATTCCTCGAAGACCTGGTTGATGTCACTGGCTTTGAAGGGTCAAGGACTCAGCTGGCCTGCAAGGTCATCGGTAAACCAACTCCCAAGGTCACATGGTAAGGAAATGGTTATGTTATATCTTTGATATTAGAACTTCTGCTGCTGTTCATTAGCAACTGAAGCATAGATCCTCAGTCTACTTGTGCCAAGTGGACCTATCAATAGCAGAGTTGGGTCTTTGATAACTAAGTACTGGGCAACTCACCATGCATTTATTGGTAATTCTGAACATTGTATGCATTTCTGAAAATCTTTTGTTCCATTCTTTTGTTACATTTTATCAGTTAAATCTGTGTAGAAACTTTAACTGCTTTTACCTCATTGGTGCGTTCATTTAAATCACCGACACATGAATATAGTTATTTTAAATTGTAACTCGTCTGTGATCACATAAGTTGAACTAATACTGAGCTGGGAGTTAAAGAGTTAATTACTTTATTACAGTACTTAATATCTTTGACAGTTTATTAATTTTTTTATTTGCTGTATCTCTACATCTTTCTGATTGATTTATTACTGCCCTGCTAGATCATTATTCAAATATTTATTATTAGCTATATACAAAAACAAAACAAAAATATGCACATCAGATAAACTCATAGATGCTGTCTCACTTAATAACTTCTTTTTGTTCATATATATATATATATATTTATTGTTCATATATATATATATATATATATATATATATATATATATATATATATATATATATATATATATATATATATATTTATTGTTCATATATATATATATATATATATATATATATATATATATATATATATATATATATATATATATATATATATATATATATATATATATATATATATATATATATATATATATATATATATATATATATATATATATAAAGACTGTAGTCATTTGTGTCTGTTTAAACCATATTGTTAAATACAGCACTGACCAAGAATGCTGACCATGTGTTAAAGATTGTTTTGCTGGGATTCTTGTCCACAGGTTCAAAGATGGAAACCCTGTCCCAGAGGATGAGCGCCACCGTGTAACATTTAAAGATGGAGAAGCCAGTCTCCAGGTCACAGATTTGACTACTGAAGATTCTGGAATCTTCACCTGCAAGGCTGCCAATCATCTTGGAGAAGCTGAGACAAGTGCAAAGATCACAATAGAAGGTAAGTTATTCTTCCAATGGGGAATTGATTTGAGAATTGAACAAATGCCCCTACTAAAGTATGAGTTAAGGCACCTAATCAATTGGATGTGTTGAACCTCCTAGTTGTCAACTGCAATATAACAAACCAGTCACTTTTTTAATGAGTGAACAAAGAAGATATTGAAAAGAGTCAATTTGGTCAAAACGTTCAGTTGTGTTCATCTGTGTCTTTTCCCTTCTTCCTTTTATTGAGCATTCTAGTCAATTTTTTGTACTTCTTGGTTTCATGTTAACCTTGGTTTTGTTAGCTCCTCTCTCTTGTCCTTTTAGTTTTTCAAGTCACAGTTTGTGCTGTATTTAGTATTCCGTTGATAAAGACTTTGGTCGAAACGTTCGGTTGTGTTCGTCTGCATCTTTTCCATTCATTCCATTGAGCTTTCTGCTCATTTTTGTGTGTTATTTCAGCATGTGATGGTGAAAGAGTTTGTGGAGCATAATAAACAGCATGTGATGGTGAAAGAGTTTGTGGAGCATAATAAACAGCATTTGATGGTGAAAGAGTTTGTGGAGCATAATAAACAGCATTTGATGGTGAAAGAGTTTGTGGAGCATAATAAACAGCATGTGATGGTGAAAGAGTTTGTGGAGCATAATAAACAGCATGTGATGGTGAAAGAGTTTGTGGAGCATAATAAACAGCATGTGATGGTGAAAGAGTTTGTGGAGCCTAATAAACAGCATTTGATGGTGAAAGAGTTTGTGGAGCATAATAAACAGCATGTGATGGTGAAAGAGTTTGTGGAGCATAATAAACAGCATGTGATGGTGAAAGAGTTTGTGGAGCATAATAAACAGCATGTGATGGTGAAAGAGTTTGTGGAGCATAATAAACAGCATGTGATGGTGAAAGAGTTTGTGGAGCATAATAAACAGCATTTAGTGGTGAAAGAGTTTGTGGAGCATAATAAACAGCATGTGATGGTGAAAGAGTTTGTGGAGCATAATAAACAGCATGTGATGGTGAAAGAGTTTGTGGAGCATAATAAACAGCATGTGATGGTGAAAGAGTTTGTGGAGCATAATAAACAGCATGTGATGGTGAAAGAGTTTGTGGAGCATAATAAACAGCATTTAGTGGTGAAAGAGTTTGTGGAGCATAATAAACAGCATGTGATGGTGAAAGAGTTTGTGGAGCATAATAAACAGCATGTGATGGTGAAAGAGTTTGTGGAGCATAATAAACAGCATGTGATGGTGAAAGAGTTTGTGGAGCATAATAAACAGCATTTAGTGGTGAAAGAGTTTGTGGAGCATAATAAACAGCATTTAGTGGTGAAAGAGTTTGTGGAGCATAATAGACAGCATTTGATGGTGAAAGAGTTTGTGGAGCATAATAAACAGCATTTAGTGGTGAAAGAGTTTGTGGAGCATAATAGATAGCATTTGATGGTGAAAGAGTTTGTGGAGCATAATAAACAGCATTTAGTGGTGAAAGAGTTTGTGGAGCATAATAAACAGCATGTGATGGTGAAAGAGTTTGTGGAGCATAATAAACAGCATGTGATGGTGAAAGAGTTTGTGGAGCATAATAAACAGCATGTGATGGTGAAAGAGTTTGTGGAGCATAATAAACAGCATGTGATGGTGAAAGAGTTTGTGGAGCATAATAAACAGCATTTAGTGGTGAAAGAGTTTGTGGAGCATAATAAACAGCATGTGATGGTGAAAGAGTTTGTGGAGCATAATAAACAGCATGTGATGGTGAAAGAGTTTGTGGAGCATAATAAACAGCATGTGATGGTGAAAGAGTTTGTGGAGCATAATAAACAGCATGTGATGGTGAAAGAGTTTGTGGAGCATAATAAACAGCATTTAGTGGTGAAAGAGTTTGTGGAGCATAATAAACAGCATGTGATGGTGAAAGAGTTTGTGGAGCATAATAAACAGCATGTGATGGTGAAAGAGTTTGTGGAGCATAATAAACAGCATGTGATGGTGAAAGAGTTTGTGGAGCATAATAAACAGCATTTAGTGGTGAAAGAGTTTGTGGAGCATAATAAACAGCATTTAGTGGTGAAAGAGTTTGTGGAGCATAATAGACAGCATTTGATGGTGAAAGAGTTTGTGGAGCATAATAAACAGCATTTAGTGGTGAAAGAGTTTGTGGAGCATAATAAACAGCATTTAGTGGTGAAAGAGTTTGTGGAGCATAATAGATAGCATTTGATGGTGAAAGAGTTTGTGGAACATAATAGATAGCATTTGATGGTGAAAGAGTTTGTGGAGCATAATAAACAGCATTTAGTGGTGAAAGAGTTTGTGGAGCATAATAGATAGCATTTGATGGTGAAAGAGTTTGTGGAGCATAATAAACAGCATTTAGTGGTGAAAGAGTTTGTGGAGCATAATAGACAGCATTTGATGGTGAAAGAGTTTGTGGAGCATAATAAACAGCATTTAGTGGTGAAAGAGTTTGTGGAGCATAATAAACAGCATTTAGTGGTGAAAGAGTTTGTGGAGCATAATAAACAGCATTTAGTGGTGAAAGAGTTTGTGGAGCATAATAAACAGCATGTGATGGTGAAAGAGTTTGTGGAGCATAATAAACAGCATGTGATGGTGAAAGAGTTTGTGGAGCATAATAAACAGCATGTGATGGTGAAAGAGTTTGTGGAGCATAATAAACAGCATGTGATGGTGAAAGAGTTTGTGGAGCATAATAAACAGCATTTAGTGGTGAAAGAGTTTGTGGAGCATAATAAACAGCATGTGATGGTGAAAGAGTTTGTGGAGCATAATAAACAGCATGTGATGGTGAAAGAGTTTGTGGAGCATAATAAACAGCATGTGATGGTGAAAGAGTTTGTGGAGCATAATAAACAGCATTTAGTGGTGAAAGAGTTTGTGGAGCATAATAAACAGCATTTAGTGGTGAAAGAGTTTGTGGAGCATAATAGACAGCATTTGATGGTGAAAGAGTTTGTGGAGCATAATAAACAGCATTTAGTGGTGAAAGAGTTTGTGGAGCATAATAAACAGCATTTAGTGGTGAAAGAGTTTGTGGAGCATAATAGATAGCATTTGATGGTGAAAGAGTTTGTGGAACATAATAGATAGCATTTGATGGTGAAAGAGTTTGTGGAGCATAATAAACAGCATTTAGTGGTGAAAGAGTTTGTGGAGCATAATAGATAGCATTTGATGGTGAAAGAGTTTGTGGAGCATAATAAACAGCATTTAGTGGTGAAAGAGTTTGTGGAGCATAATAGACAGCATTTGATGGTGAAAGAGTTTGTGGAACATAATAGATAGCATTTGATGGTGAAAGAGTTTGTGGAGCATAATAAACAGCATTTGATGGTGAAAGAGTTTGTGGAGCATAATAAACAGCATGTGATGGTGAAAGATTTGTGGAGCCTAATAAACAGCATTTGATGGTGAAAGAGTTTGTGGAACATAATAAACAGCATGTGATGGTGAAAGAGTTTGTGGAGCATAATAAACAGCATTTGATGGTGAAAGAGTTTGTGGAGCATAATAAACAGCATGTGATGGTGAAAGAGTTTGTGGAGCATAATAAACAGCATGTGATGGTGAAAGAGTTTGTGGAGCATAATAAATAGCATTTGATGGTGAAAGAGTTTGTGGAGCATAATAAACAGCATTTGATGGTGAAAGAATTTGTGGAACATAATAAACAGCATGTGATGGTGAAAGAGTTTGTGGAGCATAATAAACAGCATTTGATGGTGAAAGAGTTTGTGGAGCATAATAGATAGCATTTGATGGTGAAAGAGTTTGTGGAGCATAATAAACAGCATTTGAAACAGTGTCATGTGACTGTGGATAATAATGTTACTAATTGGTAACATTGATTTGTGACAAGCTAGATGTTGTGACGGCCCTTTGGAGCGAGTGAACAGTGTGCAGGCACAAATAGATCATTACGGTCTGAGGAGAATGGCACTGCAGGAAGTTACCAGGGTATGGCCGACGCTCCAAACTTAAGGGAAAGGCGAGACGGGTGTACAGTCAGATAGTTACTGGTACAGTAGGAACTGGAACTCTTCATTTGCCATTGAAGATGGGGACAGAGTGCAAATGGGAGCGTCCCAAGTGTTGCAATGTTGATTCTTAATTCAGTATTCAACATTTAGCTAATTAGTAAACTTACGCACACACAAAAATAGATACAGAAGGGCATACAGTAACTGTCACTGGACTACCTTTACAGTATAGAGATTACACATTTATAGTACAACAATATTTGACTTTCTATTGATACAATGAAAAGGTATTAAAATGAGTAGCAGAACTAGTCATCTTCCCATTAATGCAATCATGAATGACCATTTCAGCTAGAAAGCCTTCATCAGTATATGTAACAAGCAGGCAATGATTCAGTTGCAAACAAGAATGCACAGAAAACACTTATCTGTAAGTAGTTTCACTTATTTCACAGTTTATTGTCTTTTGTTATATGTGTAATGTTTTGTTTTTTCTCTTGCAGAAGTCAGACACAGAAGGAAGAGACTGGAGGATGAAGAAGCCACCATTAGACTCACGTATGTACTTCAGAGGGAATTTTCATATGCTTGGTTATTTTGTTGTTATTGATTATCTCAGTGCTCAGTTATATGCACTTAAATCTTCATGACAGTTTAGTGGAGTACTTATGACAACCTGGTTTCATGACAGTTTAGCTGTTACTTATGACAACCTGGTTTCATGACAGTTTAGCTGTTACTTATGACAACCTGGTTTCATGACAGTTTAGCTGTTACTTATGACAACCTGGTTTCATGACAGTTTAGCTGTTACATATGACAACCTGGTTTCATGACAGTTTAGCTGTTACTTATGACAACCTGGTTTCATGACAGTTTAGCTGTTACTTATGACAACCTGGTTTCATGACAGTTTAGCTGTTACTTATGACAACCTGGTTTCATGACAGTTTAGCTGTTACTTATGACAACCTGGTTTCATAACAGTTTAGCTGTTACTTATGACAACCTGGTTTCATGACAGTTTAGCTGTTACTTATGACAACCTGGTTTCATAACAGTTTAGCTGTTACTTATGACAACCTGGTTTCATAACAGTTTAGCTGTTACTTATGACAACCTGGTTTTCTCTTCTTCTCCTTCTCATCTTCCTCCTTCTTTTTCTGCTTCCTCACCTTTTTATTCTTCTTCTTCTCCTACTCCTCCTCGTTTTCTTCTTCGTCTTCTTTTTCTTCTTCTTTTCCTTCCTCTTCTTCTTTTTCTTCTTCTCCTTCCTCCTCCTGCACTTCCTCTTCTTCTTTTCTTCTTCTTCTTCTTCTTCTTACTCTTCCTATTTCTCTTCCCCTTCTTCCTCCTCCTATGCTTCTTCTTTTCTTCTTCTTCTTCTTCTTCTTACTCTTCCTATTTCTCTTCCCCTTCTTCCTCCTCCTATGCTTCTTCTTCTTCTTCTTCTTCCTCTTCCTCTTTCTCTTCTTCTACTTCAGCATCCCAGTCCATTAAAGTTCACTGCTGCAGATTTATCCATGGCTTCTTCAATCTCTGTGAATGGCCTTTTCTTTCCAGTTGGTGACTCCAGTGTTTGCCGGTCTTCCTGTTTATCATCTTCCCATCTTTGTTTTAGTCTGTCTCATGATCTACTCCCACTCAACTGTCTTGTGTGTGCAGTTTTTATCTCTCTGTTATCTGCTCTTTTCCCTATATCCCACAACCATAAATTCTTATTCTTGGTGTCAGCAATTAGTGGTGATTTAAACAGACTATGAATTTCTTTGTTGCGTTTCTCTCCATTCTCCACTGTTTTGCATTGTTAATGTGTATAAAGTTTCACCATAAGGCTCTGTTCTCAAAAGCTTGTAGTAAGACTCCATCTCTTTTGGTTGTACTCTTGCTTTCAGAACCATATAGGAGTATCCAGCAGGTATGACTGGATAAAATGGATACCATAGATTTTTCAGATAAGGAGCGAGGAAACGTAGTAAGAAATAGAACTGTTTACTGCATGTCTTTGATATTGTAGCCTTTAATGCCATCATTAAGGATGTTTTTTTCTTTCTGCAGACGTCCGGCCCATGTCTATGATTTCACAGTGGAAGACACCAACATTCCACCAGAGTTTACTCTTCCACTGGTGGACCAGACTAAGACAGTTGGAGATGACGTTACTTTTACTGTTACAGGTAAGCTTTGTCTGCTTTTTCTGTGTTTTTTTTTTCTATCTGAAATATGTCTGAAGTTAATAATAGCCATGTAAGTTCCAGTGTATAAAAGTTTTCTTTGAGCCAAGCATTAAGACAGGGCTATTCAACTGGTGGCCTGCATGTCAAATGTGGCCCGGGGAGACCTAGCAAGTTGCCTGTAGATCATTGCCAGTTTTTTTATTGTATTAACGATCTTTCTATGTTGGCGTTCCGGCCACTGGCCCGTGATGATACCCAATTAGAAAATTTTTGCTATTACACATGCCTGCAATATTGTATTACTATTACTATCACACATGTCTACAATATTGTATTACTATTACTATTACTGTTACACATGTCTACAGTACTGTATTGTTATTACTATTACACATGTCTACAATATTGTATTGTTATTACTATTACACATGTCTACAATATTGTATTACTATTACCTTCACACATGTCTACAAAATTGTATTACCATTACTATTACTATTACTGTTACACATTTCTACAATATTTTATTACTATTACTATCACACATGTCTACAGTATTGTATTGTTATTACTATTACACATGTCTACAATAATTTATTACCATTACTATTAAACCTGTCTACAATGCTATATAACTTTTACACTTATCTGCAATGTTTCTGTGATTACAGTCACCTGCCGACCCGAACCTGATGTGGTGTGGTACCATGGCAGCGAGAAAGTGTCCCGCTCAAGTCGCATATCATTCCTCCATGACAAGGGTGTCTACCGTCTGACCATCCTCAACCTGACCACCAAGGATGCTGGAGAATGGAGATGTCAGGCCATCAATTCCTATGGCGAGGCCTGGTGTGAATGTGACCTCAAAGTTATAGGTGAGTTTGACAATCAGTTTCCTATGACAAGGCCTGGTGTGAATGTGACCTCAAAGTTATAGGTGAGTTTGACCATCAGTTTCCTCTGACAAGGCCTGGTGTGAATGTGACCTCAAAGTTATAGGTGAGTTTGATTATCAGTTTTCCTATGACGAGGCCTGGTGTGAATGTGACCTCAAAGTTATAGGTGAGTTTGACCATCAGTTTCCTCTGACAAGGCCTGGTGTGAATGTGACCTCAAAGTTATAGGTGAGTTTGATTATCAGTTTTCCTATGACGAGGCCTGGTGTGAATGTGACCTCAAAGTTAGAGGTAAGTTTGACCATCAGTTTTCCTATGGCAAGGCCTGGTGTGAATGTGACCTCAAAGTTAGAGTTGAGTTTGACCATCAGTTTTCCTTTGACAAGGCCTGGTGTGAATGTGACCTCAAAGTTAGAGTTGAGTTTGACCATCAGTTTTCCTTTGACAAGGCCTGGTGTGAATGTGACCTCAAAGTTAGAGTTGAGTTTGACCATCAGTTTTCCTTTGACAAGGCCTGGTGTGAATGTGACCTCAAAGTTAGAGTTGAGTTTGACCATCAGTTTTCCTTTGACAAGGCCTGGTGTGATCTGGTTATATCTCTATATTTCAGAACACATTCCAGAAGGTCACACAAAGCCCAGGTTTGTGAAAGAGTTGGAGTACACCACTGCCACACAGGGAAGTCTGGTCAGATTGGAGTGTGCTGTCACTGGAGAACCCAAGCCAAACATCAAATGGTCAGTGCATCTATAGTTCATATTTAATTTATCCTCTTTTTCTTTTGAGTTGGCCATTCAAAGGGAGGTTGGCACACTGTATTATATTTTTAACTCTTTCAGTCCCAATGAACGCATCATGTGCTGATAGATTTCTACCTAGAAGTCCAGCGAATGCAGGCAATGACAGTTTTACTTCTCTCTTGAGCCTTTGACGCTTAACCCCCGGGACTGAAAGAGATAAGCTAGGCGCTGAAATATGCATGTCTTTCAGCCAAACACATCCAGTTTCAGTAAATCTTTAATCAATCATCTTTTTAAAACATGCTTGTAAAGAGGCTGTATGTCTGTCTGGTCCCACCCCCCTCCCCCCCTCTTCCCCACTGGGGAGCTGGAACTTACCCAGGGACTATCTGCATCCTGTTGGAGAATCAAACTGATTAGTGCATTTGCAAATTGCTCACACTAAAAGTTGTATGGCATTAGAAAATTGCTAAGAGCAGGCTTTAAGACCACTTCTGTGGCAAAAATAAACAGGAAAACCTGTTCACAGATAGATAACCCTAAATATAGAAGTGGATTGGAGATGAGAGACAGGGTCACCTTTTATTATTATATCCTTCTCTGTTGACAGGTTCAAGGACCGCAAGAGAATTGACTCTGATGCTCATTACAAGATCCGAACCTATGAAGATGGCACCATTACTTTAGTTATTGAGGTTGCTGAAGTGGAGGATACAGGATCTTACTTGTGTGTCGCAGAGAATGATGCTGGTTCAGTTTCTACTGAATCTAGGCTGAGAGTACAGAGTAAGTTTGATCATGTGTTTGTGGGTGTATGTATATGTGTGTGTGTTTGTGTGTGTGTTTATGTGTGGCAGAGAATGATGCTGGGTCTTTGTCTGCCAATGTTATACTTTTTTCAATTTATTGTTTTACAAAGTCATACATCCAACATATTCCTTTAAAAAAGCCACATCTGCAACACATGCATGTTCTCCTTTCCATAAATCCAACAGGTATGTTCAATAATTTTACATATTCCTGTTTCCAATATTTTAACTGAAAAACTGAAACATTATATTTGTTTTCATATCCATTTCATTATTTTGATAATTACAGCAGATAAACATGACACATCTACACAATTTTATTTCCAGAAGTGTATGAGGAAAGACCATCAGTGTATGATGTCACTTCTATGGCTTATGATGTCCATGAACAAGAAGCAGTTGAGGTCAAGAAATACCGAGTCCAAGTGCCACCAGATTTTACTGCCAAACTGAAAAACAAAACAGTGCCAGAGGGCGCCACTGTCAGACTGAACTGCTCGGTTACAGGAATACCTGAACCACAGGTTAGGTGGTTTAAGGATGACAAGGAAATCTTTGATGGTCCTGAGTATACACTGAGGGTAAGAGTTTACATTACTATAGCCCTGATTATCTTTGTTTAATGAATAATGTGTTAGCACTATAGTTTTGAGTTATTTTGTTCTGTGCCTTACCAGACTGGTTTAGGCTTTCATTTATCTTCTCAGAGCTCTGCCCTTTCATGCTTTTCCATACCACCAACCTAGAATGTCCATCAACACCTTCATCATCTCTTTATCTGCCTCTTTTTGGTCTACTTCTGATTTTTTCCTAGTCATCAGAATGTTTTCAAGAACCCTGTTTTTTTCTCATCACATGACTAAAGAACACTGTTGTCTTTCTTGGACAAACCCTTAGTTACCTTTAATATTTTTGTTGAAGGACAATAATTATTGATTACTGGCATAGCAATGTGAGATGTTCAACATTAATGTAAAGGGAATTTATTATTATTGCATTTGTGTGGGGTAAGGTGGAGATGGTGAGTTTATGTGTGAGAAGTTCTAGATTAATGATGTTTATAAGGGAATTCAATATTAGTGCATTGGTGTTTGGTGTAAGGTGGAGATTCATGATTAAAATGTTGTTTGGACTATGAGGAGCTGCTTTTTTTAGAAAATCTAACTGCTAGTTTCTTGTTTTGGGGAAATCTGACCATTGATGTCTCATGTTTAAGCATATCTGTCTGTTGGTTTCATGTGTCTTGTGTCCAGTTCTGATACTTGATTCCTTGTCAATGTCAGGAGAGGAAGAGCTGGAGGGTTTGGAACTGGACTTTCTGCGGCCCAAGTTTGTCACTCAGATCCATGACATCTATGTGAATGAGGGAGAAGATGCCACCTTCACTTGCACCGCTACAGGCAAACCCATGCCAGCATTCAAATGGTAAGTCTTTGGTTTATATTAGGGCTGTACCGAATATTCCCTTCGTATTCGCTTCTGGGCTGAATGGTGGACCTATTGACTATTCGGTATTCGGCCAAATAGTTGCGGTCAGGCCGAATACTAATAGTAGTTACCTTACACCCACTTCTGCATACACAGCCTTAATACTGACAACATAGAACCATTGGTTTTGTTGAAAGCTAATGCAGCTTTCATGCATTAACTATGCTTTCAGTGACAATTTCCAAGTTTAATTACTTGTTACAAATACTTAGGATTCTTTCAGTCCTAGTTATTAGTTAACACAGACTGACTGAGGGATGCAAAACATGAAATGTTTTTAAATGTTTACTATTTTGTACGAATACTAACTAGACATGGAAAGAATATAAACTCAGGCCACATCCAAGTCGATAATATGAAAATCAAACAAATGGAAACATATAAGTACTTGGGTGCAAACTTCAACTGCTCAAACATGCTGAGAGAAGAAATACAATCTAGAAAAAAAAGTATACTATGCCCTTCAACATCTGCTAAAGTCGAAGTGTCTGTCTCGCAAGATCAAGATCAAAAAATATAAAATGTTGATTAGACCAGTCATGTTATATGGCTCTGAAACTTGAAGCAGAAAAAAAAAAGATGAGGCCTTTTTACAGGTTTTCAAAAACATCATTATGACAAATTTTTGGACCCATCAAAGATGCAAACAGCGGGGAGTGGAGAGTGAGAGGCAACAACATAACACATAATCTGTTTAAATCACAAATGATCACTGGCATCATGAGAGCTAACAGACTAAGAGAAGTAAAACTGTATACACCTGAGAGAGGAATGGTCGTAGACTTCAAGGCAGACAAAAAAAGAAGATCGAGAGTTAATGTCCAGCCAGAGAAATGAATGGAGACGAGTGATATCTGCATCAGTAAACCTCAAGGGCTCAGAATGCTAAAGAATAAAATGACTATTCTGTGCTACTTTACATGTGAAATAAAAGTTCAGCGTACATTTGATATTATGAATGTGTGTGTTTTTTTTTTTTTAGATATATTTTGTACACTATACACTATTTGTATTCATATTCAGCCGAATAGTTGTTCCCGTTATTCGTATTCGGCCAAATAGTGAAAATCACTATTCGGTACATCCCTTGTTTATATCTCAACTGTAATGTAGTAAGTCCTTGTTTAATGCAGACACAAACAGTACATTGCACAATTTATTGCTTAATATACTTTGCTGTATCTCATCAGGTAATAAATTGCTACAGGGTTGCATCAACATGTATTAAAGCAAACAAAAAATGAATATTTGTCCACTCAAATACACATATTATATTGTCTGTCTTCTCTAGTTTATCTGCACATCTCACACCTGTGGTTAGTACAAAAGCTGGAGATTCACCATATGCTCTTTTTGTTTGCACAATAATGGATAGTTCTTATTTTTATTTTTTTTTCACATGAACAGCGAAAAGTGCCAGACAATAAATATGCAACATATTGTCTGTGTCTGCTTTTTTTTTTTTTTTTAATTTACAATGAAAAAACATTGTTTTTAAGTTTTGCTTTATGTCAGAACTTTAATGTGGTAAGCCTTCGGTTTATATCTGAATGTGTGGGTAGTAAGTAAACACAGATACTATCAAAGTCTCCTTCTAAGTCAGAGTGCATATGCCTGAGAGGTGAGGAACTAACAGTCTGAAAATAAATAAGCTCAATCAGTACAGTAGATGTACATTCACAACTCAAGTTCTGGAACAAGACCAAAATCCAGAAGTGGATGACCAGCCAGAACTTTCCACTGCAGTTCACAACTTATGGTCACAAAGTAGAAGAAATCTAAGACTGTGATGGGAGATATCCCCTACAGAATGGATCCAGAATACCAAGGTACCCAATATTGACTTAGTCGGCATCAAAGGCTTTTGTCAGATTCTAAACATTTCCATTTGGTCCGCATAGAGTAAAGACAAAATGATAAACAAAAGAAAGGCAACCTCACCTTATATTATCATAACCTGGTGTGTATAAACTCTATAAAAATTTGCTTTTGTGGATTACTTTAGCCTTCTTGAAAGTTGTTTGCAACATTACAATCTGAACAGCATTTCAAATAAGTGAGAAAAATATGTTCATGTGACATTCATGTGTGATTTTAGGCAGCGAGACTTGATCAAGATCACAACATCCAAGCGGGTGGAGTCTGAATGGGACAACCAAGGCCATGCCAAGCTGACACTGAAGAATGTCAAGCCATCTGATGGAGGCCTTTACTACTGCATTGCCCATTCTAGATCTGGGAGAGCCAAATGTTCTGCATATCTCCACGTTAAAGGTTTGTAAGGCGTTCATTTTGTTACCAGATAGTATTAATTCAGTCTTTTTCCATTTCTCTACTTTGGTTTACTTGTTAGGGAGTTGAATTATGAATCAACATTATATCACTCCATACATTCTTAAGCGCTGCATCCCAGTCCTCAGCAGCCAGCATGGTACCAAGTCTGATGGTGCCTGTAGCAGTCTGATTGTTTGTCCTTCTTGCCTTTCCTCTGAGTGTGAAGTATCGGCCAGATCCCCTGGTCACTCCCCACTGCATCATTTTCTCCAGACTACGATGATCTATGTCTGCTTTAGCAGCATTGTTCAATTACTCCATACATTCTTCATAAGCGCTGCATCCCAGTCCTCAGCAGCCAGCATGGTACTAAGTCTGATTATCTATGTCTGCTTTAGCAGCATTGTTCAATTACTCCAAAAGGACCTGGACCATGTCTAGCATTTGATGGTTAAATTTTGCAGAGACAGAACATAGATCAGTGACATGTTATAGATTGACAGAGTGAATCGTTGAAGTGTATATGATATCACTGACCTCTTAAATTTGTTTCAGGGATGATAAAATATGACAGATTGTTACATAGAAAAATACTTGATGATATCTAAATGTAGCTGTGTTTATTTGCAGCCAAAACACCACCCCCTGCAACCACTAAGGAAGCAGCTGAGTTCGTGAGGGCAGCAGCCAGAGATATCAGATCAGTAGAGAGGGGAGCAACTCTGGGAGCACCCCCAAGTCTTTCCCTGATGTTACCTAGAACCCTGGATGTGGTGTTGGGTGAGCGGCTGAAGCTGGATTGTGCCGTTCAAGGCTACCCACCACCATTAGGTAATCACCAGCACTTTTGACATATCTCTTGTGTACACATGGTTCTCGCCCCCATATACAACCAACACTTTTTAACATTTCTGGGTTGTTCCATGCTGGGCAGAGAAACAGGGACAAAAAAGGAACTGGTAACCTTGCCTTATAATTTCTTCTTCTTCTTAACTTCTGGTAGAATTTGGAGGATTAGGCATGGCAGAATGTTTAATTTTGAAGTTATTATTGCCTCCGACAGAGCTTTGCTAATGCAGTTTTCACATATGGGTGGTAGTCTACGATTTTGCTGCCTGAGCTACTGAGTTTAGTGCTCAGTGCAGCACTGTGAGCTGTGTTTTTCTTGTGGAGTGCCTTTCATTTGTTCAGCGACTGAGTCATGGTATTCAGTATGGCTGGTAGCCAGTTTACATGTAGGCTGGTGAAATACCTTATGTAAAAATTTTACGTGTGAATAGCCAACTTATCGTGTCCAATTACTTTCATCAATGATAAACTACATTACTGGTGGTGACTGTTGGCTTTGGTGCCTCTATCAACTGCCATATGCATTTAGTGTGTGTATATATTTCTGGATTGTGCCAGGACTAATTGTTTGTTCACCAGTTTTTCTAATGGGACACTGAGGGGCATTTCATTTGATTTTTACTGGTACAGGAAAGAAACAAGTATGGGGTTACCCGATGACAATGAAGTTGAAACATTGACTAAGTTTTCTTCTTCTTCTCTACTTCTTCCTCTTCTTCACATTCACTGGCTGTAAACTTCTGTGGAAAGACCCAGTTGTTTGTCCACTTCTTGACTTTGGTCTAGTGGTTGAGTTTTGTGTGCACATTCACTTTATTTGTGTGCAAACTGTTGGTTCTTTGCCTCAGGCAGATGCACTCTGACTTTGAACCTGATTAGGAACCTGTTTCTAGGGTGACCACAGAGAGATATAGACAGATCTTCACCACTATGAGCCATCACCTTCTGCCAATATAACACCCACTTTTTTTAACATCATTCTTGCTCCAGCATTATTCTCATCCCATTGCCTGGCCTAGGAGTCCCACTGTCATATCTCCAAGTTTTATTTCTTCAGTCACCTTTAAGTTTCTTGAGAGGAATAATGGGGTCATTTTCCCTTAGCTTTCCATATCCACAAAACAGAAGGCTTTAGTCTAATTGTAACAACATGCATCTTCCTTTTGACAGTATAAAGGTGTGAGTCATGAGCCATGAAACTTTGTAGTTCTAGCAACATCTCCCAGAAGATCTCTAAAATACCTGCACATGCCAACAAAAATGTGAAGTCTTCTTTTTTTTTTTTTCTTTAAATTCCTTAGCTGTAAAATTCTGATTGTTCATCCACTTCTGGACTATCATCGTGTTCCAGAATTTATATTTTGTGGGCACATGTGAATACAAATCTGGCTTATTTGTGGGCAGAATGTTGGTTCCTCACCTCTCAGGGAGATGCACTCAAACTTCAAAGGGAGCACTGATGCCTCTACTTTGGCCAGGCCCCTGGTTATAAGCCTATTTCCTGGATAATCTCGGAAAGGGGTAGAGAAGTCTTGTCCAGTATAAGCCCTGCCCTTGGTGCACCACCATGTCTGGTTCAGCCCCTCTACATCTGGGGTGGAGTTTGAGCCTGACCTTAAAAATGTAATAGCTTGAGGCAGAGAGTCTACTTGTCCAGAGACAGATTAATTGAAACAGATTTATACTTGTGACTTAGAGAAGAACTACAGCTAATCAAATAATACATCACATTTTACTATACTAACTGGCCTGATGTCCTTCTCTCTCTCTAGTGACCTGGCACAAGGGAGACAGAGAGCTGGTGTATAGCCAACGCCATCGCATTGTCCTGTGTGGTACGCTACACACACTGGAGATACCCCAGGCCATGGCACTAGACAAAGGTGAATACATCGTCCGGGCCACCAACATTTACGGGACTGTGGAGTCTTCATGTCTTGTCAACATCTTGCCCAAAGGGTAAGTCTGCACATGTATGTCTGTATGTGTATTATGTTGTATTGTCCCCACAGCACCTGCAAGAGAGTTAAAGTAAACATTTTGAGATCATGCATCTTTCCTATGGCAACTTAACAGATGTGAATCATGGACTCTTACTCAATCACTAAAGAAGCAAACTGGAGCTTCTGGACTGAAAGTCTACAGAAAAATTCTTAGAATACCATGGACCAAGAAGACGGAAAGCAATGACATCCTTCTTGATCAAAGCACTCAGGAGAATTGCCTCATAAACAGCATCCTATCCTGAATGGTGAGGCATTTTGATCATGTTAAATGGCATGCTGGCCTGCAGAGAAAAGTGAAGGAAGGTACAGTTTCTGAGGATAAGACATAGGTAGACCTCAGTAAAGGTGGATACAGGACACTGCATTGGCTTTGAAAGCACATAGGGCTCTGGAGAATGAGAGACTTCCAGGTGTACCTGGTGATAGTGATATACTGTAAGGGAACTGCTGATTCGCAGTGGTGGTCATGTCCTTGCAAATTACATTTTTAATGCCATTAAAGGCTTCTCCTCTTGTCTGCTCAATGATTACCTTTCATGTGCATCATTTGTTTCCTTAACAGGTCCAAAGTATCAACACCACCTGACTACAGGAGAGAAGCCATGAGAGATGCTGCAAAACCGCAGATTCATGGTGAGTTCCTTGATTGTTTTCTGATGTGTTTATCCTTACTGGTAGCTCTGCCTGCTTCATGTTCTTATTCAGTTGTATTTCATCTTGTTTACACTGCATGGGACTTTCTCATAGAACTTTGTTACATGCTGTGACAATATTTCATTGTTAATCTTACAGCTACAATGATAGTTTTCAGTGATTATCTTACAAAGGTGATGACAAATGTCAGTGTTAGTCTAACATACATATTTCAGTGCCAGTCTACAACAGCAGATATACTTAAATGTCTGCCTTACAACTACAACAGACTACAACACTGCTGACTCAAAGTTCTGGGGTTCTAATCTACATTAGGTCAGAAACAGATTTATCTATGACCTGGACTTGCAGGTCAATCCAGCTGAAAATGGAAATGTTCTGGGAAGTAATGGACTGCATTATGTAGGTCATATCATCCTTCAGACATGGACAGCATTATGTAGGCCATATCATCCTTTGGACATGGACAGCATTATGTAGGCCATATCATTCATCAGACATGGACAGCATTATGTAGGCCATATCATCCTTCCGACATGGACAGCATTGTGTAGGCCATATCATCCTTCAGACATGGACAGCATTATGTAGGCCATATCATCCTTCAGACATGGACAGCATTATGTAGGCCATATCATCCTTCAGACATGGACAGCATTATGTAGGCCATATCATCCTTCAGACATGGACAGCATTATGTAGGCCATATCATCCTTCAGACATGAACAGCATTGTGTAGGCCATATCATCCTTCAGACATGGACAGCATTATGTAGGCCATATCATCCTTCAGACATGGACAGCATTATGTAGGCCATATCATCCTTCAGACATGGACAGCATTATGTAGGCCATATCATCCTTTAGACATGGACAGCATTATGTAGGCCATATCATCCTTCAGACATGGACAGCCATATGTAGGTCATATCATCCTTCAGACATGGACAGCATTGTGTAGGCCATATCATCCTTCAGAAATGGACAGCATTATGTAGGCCATATCAGTCATCAGACATGGACAGCATTGTGTAGGCCATATCATCCTTCAGACATGGACAACATTATGTAGGCCATATCATTCTTCAGACATGGACAGCATTATGTAGGCCATATCAGTCATCAGACATGGACAGCATTATGTAGGCCATATCAGTCATCAGACATGGACAGCATTATGTAGGCCATATCAGTCATCAGACATGGACAGCATTGTGTAGGCCATATCATCCTTCAGACATGGACAGCATTATGTAGGCCATATCATCCTTCAGACATGGACAGCATTGTGTAGGCCATATCATCCTTCAGACATGGACAGCATTATGTAGGCCATATCATCCTTCAGACATGGACAGCATTATGTAGGCCATATCATCCCTTAGACATGGACAGCATTATGTAGGCCATATCAGTCATCAGACATGGACAGCATTGTGTAGGCCATATCATCCTTCAGACATGGACAGCATTATGTAGGCCATATCATCCTTCAGACATGGACAGCATTGTGTAGGCCATATCATCCTTCAGACATGGACAGCATTATGTAGGCCATATCATCCTTCAGACATGGACAGCTTTATGTAGGCCATATCATCCTTCAGACATGGACAGCATTATGTAGGCCATATCATCCCTTAGACATGGACAGCATTATGTAGGCCATATCATCCTTCAGACATGGACAGCATTATGTAGGCCATATCATCCCTTAGACATGGACAGCATTATGTAGGCCATATCATCCTTCAGACATGGACAGCATTATGTAGGTTATATCATCCTTCAGACATGGACAGCATTGTGTAGGCCATATCATCCTTCAGACATGGACAGCATTATGTAGGCCATATCAGTCATCAGACATGGACAACATTATGTAGGCCATATCATTCTTCAGACATGGACAACATTATGTAGGCCATATCATTCTTCAGACATGGACAGCATTATGTAGGCCATATCAGTCATCAGACATGGACAGCATTGTGTAGGCCATATCAGTCATCAGACATGGACAGCATTGTGTAGGCCATATCATCCTTCAGACATGGACAACATTATGTAGGCCATATCATTCTTCAGACATGGACAGCATTATGTAGGCCATATCAGTCATCAGACATGGACAGCATTATGTAGGCCATATCAGTCATCAGACATGGACAGCATTGTGTAGGCCATATCATCCTTCAGACATGGACAACATTATGTAGGCCATATCATTCTTCAGACATGGACAGCATTATGTAGGCCATATCAGTCATCAGACATGGACAGCAGTATGTAGGCCATATCATCCTTCAGACATGGACAGCATTATGTAGGCCATATCAGTCATCAGACATGGACAGCAGTATGTAGGCCATATCAGTCATCAGACATGGACAGCATTATGTAGGCCATATCATCCTTCAGACATGGACAGCATTATGTAGGCCATATCAGTCATCAGACATGGACAGCATTGTGTAGGCCATATCAGTCATCAGACATGGACAGTCATCTTTAATCTTTAACCTCTCAAAGCTGCAGTAAAAGTTGACTGGTTTGCGAGTCAGAGTAAAATCATTTCTCTTGTACTTGACAAGTTCACAGATGTTCATGTAGGGTTCTTTAAAAGCCATTTGATACTATGAACTTATCAGGTCATGCTTGTGGCCTTTTGGACACCTCAACATGTTGGTTTGTGCAAGTAGAAGTAGAACCTGTGTGTGCAGGACTTTCTTTCATATTTGCTCATGCCTTTCCTCCCTTCTAATGTGTTTTCTGCCAAAAAAGAAAGAAAACGCTGCTATTACTGTCTATAGTTATCTGTTTTGCGGTGTGGTGCCACATAGCTAACGCAGCTGCCACAGACTGTGCAGGCTAGGTTTGTACCCCTTCTCCCCCCCCCCCCCCCCCCCCAACCTCCCCTCACAGAAAAAAAAAACCATTACCTTACTGAGAGCCCTGCCTTTTTCACCATTATGTCAGCCTCTTAATGCCTTTTCTAACATTCTAAGAGAGTATTTATTATAATTGGGCATTGCAGGAAGATTTATTTGATTTTGAGTCTTAGTTTTATGATGATATCATGTTTCTTTTGATTCTAGTCTCTTGGTTTTCTATCCTTATCTGGAATGAGTTTTTGCTTCCTTCATAGCTCATTCAGTACAAAATTTCCATTATCAGGTCTCTAGTCCACCTTATCTGTAAATTGAATCTTATGAAATACTTTTGCTTCTTCTTCTTCTACTTCTTCTTCTTATTTTTCTGTTGCATTCACTGGCTATAAAGTAATTGGAGCTTTGATTGTTCCTTCAATTTTTTTTGTCCCAGAACTTAAGGTGTCATACACATACATTTTATGAATAAGCTTATTTATTTGCAGACTGTTAGTTCCTTGCATGTCAGACAGATATATTCGAACATCGAAGGAACCCCTAATTACTCAACTTTTATGGCATGGCTGGTAGGGTCCAGACAGTGGGTCTGTTTCCCCCCCCCCCCCCCACCCCACCACCGATGAGGCCCAGGAATACTCAATGAGGCAATACTTGTTAATGTATCTATCTTCTGCTGGATCAGCAGTTTTATTCCTAAATCGTAGTACATACATGTATCTGGTGGCAGTACTGAGAGGGGTCTGATGGTAGTACTGAGATGTATCTGGTGGCAGTACTGAGATGTGTCTGATGGTAGTACTGAGATGTATCTGGTGGCAGTACTGAGATGTGTCTGATGGTAGTACTGAGATGTATCTGGTGGCAGTACTGAGATGTGTCTGATGGTAGTACTGAGATGTATCTGGTGGCAGTACTGAGATGGGTCTGGTGGTAGTACAGACATTTCTGTGATGGTACTACCGACACTTTCATCTAAGGGTAGTGCAATTATTTTATTGCAAATTGTACAGAACAATTCAATTCAATCAGCATAGTTGATATGCCCCCTAAGATTTTTTTCAGCTGTCCTTTAAGCCTATAGATGCTGATCAAATGACCTTGCTTGCATGACACTCTTTGTTTTTGTGATCTTCTGTTTGCCCCAACCCTGTCTGCTGCATGTCATTGATGTGATGAATGATGTGATGAATGATGTTTGCAGACGAAGATGAGGAAGCCAAGGAGAGAGAAGCCCGACCTCGGCGGCCTTCAGGTACCTTAACTGTGTCACATGTCAGTCAGTTCACACAGATTTTGTTTTTTCACAGCACCAGTAACCAGATGATTGCCACTGATATTTTGTTTTTTGACTGCATGCTTTAACCTTGCATAAAAGTTATTTCTTTTTCAGTGATCAGTCATAACATTGTCCGGTGTTTATTGAAACAGCCAAAAGATTACATGAATAATTTTGTGTGTGTTATTAATTAAGCACATATTTTGCTTTTCAGCACTTTTAATTTATTATTGGTCAAAGATTAATACTTTTTGTGTTAGGATAATATTTATTGTTCATTTTTAAATCATATTTATTGTTTTTACCTGTGACAATTTAAAAAAAATCATAATATTAAACAGACTATATTGTTAGTTTCAGTAATATTTATTTGTCTTTCTGAATAAATATTTTTGGGGGGTGGGGGGGGGGGGGGGGGGAGTAGTACAAATTAATAATGAGGAAACAGAATATTATTTGTAAATATTATGTTGTTTGCAGCTCACACTGCAAGATAAAATTACTAAATGAGAAGGCCGTGGAGCACTGGGACATGTACATATTTATCCCCTCTAACTGATAACTTTATGCACACCTAAAAAAAATGCAGGAGTTTGAGAATAAAAATTATGAGAAATGGAAGGATATATAGAAATAATAATGGCAAAATAAATGCATGTGGGGGGGGGGGGGAAGGGGGGGGAGTTACAATGCTGAAGGATGTGGGTACAAAATGACAAAATGTAGTTACAGTACCAGTAAACATAAGGACCAAACTGGGTGCACAACTATATGATGTTTGTACAGAACTAAATGAAACAAGTTGGGGAAAAAAGATGCACTTCCAGAGGATGTGAGTACAAAATGAAAGAATTTACCAGTTATGTAGTTACTGTACCAGTAAACATGAGGACCAAACTGGGTACAAAACCATATGATATTTTTACAGAACTAAATGAAACAATTGTAAAATAAGTATAAATTTAAAAGTTTTTAACGAAATCAATAATTTTACATCAGTCTGATGTCACTTACTTTTAGCTGTTGTGTAACACTGACATGTTAATGTCATTTACAGATTTTAACCTGAGTGTTTTTACGAATTTATCTTGTCGTTAAATTTGCACACTAATTTAAATTAAGACTTCGTAACTACAATTGGGCACAGCACAATTAATTGTGTGATCAATATTTGTCACAGCTTCACACATTGAAAAGTGAAATGTCACCAGAGTGATTTACTCATGATTACTAAATGATTAACTGATAACTGTCATGTGAGATGTAAGACTGATATCAAGAAATTGATCGTTTTAATTTAAGATTGCATAACTGAGGTCAATAAATGGTTACTTTGGTGTAAGATTGTAGAGGTGAAAATGAAGTAATTGATAACTGTCATTTGGGATTCCATAACTGAGATCAGTTAATAAATAATTGTGTTAGGATCTGTATAACAGATCAAGAAACTGACAACAGTGGTGGTAGATAGAATTAGCGAGATCAAGCAATTTATAACTGAGGTGTACAATTGTACTAATGAGATTGTATTGCTGATAACTCTGATGTGAGATTGTATGACTGAAATTGATTAGTTGATAACTGTGATAGTAGTTTCTAAGAATGAAAATAATTAACTGATAAATGTGAAAGGAGACTATGTTACAGATATATTAGAAATGTGGTAGAAAAAAAAAAGGAAGAGACGGTCATCAATGAAGAACTCAGAGCAGTAATAGGCACAGTACCGTACATTATTTTATAGAACATCAAAAAATCAAATGGTTCTGTCATCTGGTCAGAATGGAACAAAATCAGCAGGCAACCTAAGCGTACTTCATGATGGCAGCAGGCTACAAGGCAAGAGGCTGACCAAGAAAGGGATGGGTGGAGGGAGTAAAGGAGAAACTATAGAAAAACTGTATGACATTAACACAAGCTACGCAACTAGCAAAACACAGGAAACTACATCTAAATCCTCTCTCTAATGCTTTACGACATAAGTAGTAGGATAAAGTAAAGGACCCTTTCCCATGCCTTTCAGGCGAATTGGGTATATAGGGCTAGACCTATTTTTTTATAGACCAAACGGCACTTGGTGGGTGATGTGGCCAGCATCAGGCTGGCCGCCTTTGCTTCCCAGGACTGTACCTGGTACCCACTCAAGGCTGAGTCAACCTGGGAGCCACGATCATTTAAAAAAAAAATAAAGTCCTTGTCAACAACTGAACCGAATCCAATTACCAAGCGGGCATCTAGCCGCCAACGCCATGGCGACTCCTATGCAATAGGGTAAAAGAAAGAAAGAAGAAAGATAACTGATAACTTCGAACCGTGTTATGACTTAGCATAACTGAAAGCAAATTAATAAATAAATAAAATGTGGAATTGTACAAGTGGGATCAGATAATTGATAACTGAGTTGTAGAACTATATTGTAAGATGAAGTCATTGATAGTGGGAGTGTTGGTTGTATTATGAAATCAGTTATTGATAAATGCAATGTAAATAAATAATGTTACTGATAAGTATCTTGTAAAATTGTGTAAATGATAACTTTTGTTGTTAGATGAAGTAACATAACTGTTTTTGTTTTATGAGATAACTGATTTCTCTGTTGTGACTGGTATTTTGTTGTAAGATCATGTGATTGGTAACATCATTTTTTTTAAACTATTAATTCTCATATGAGCTTATTCCAACTCTTTAACACATTCATATAATAGCATATTAATAATTTAATACACTCCAGAAACTGGGTCATTTCTGATACTGTTTACAAAGCGTCTTTTATTGAATGCATTTGCACCAAACATTTTTATAATTTGTCATTTAATTTACTGTAGAATTTGTTATATAAAGAAATAAACAATAAATAAACTAATCAAAGTTTAATAGTTTCCTTTTGTCCTTATATACATCATTAGTAAATTAATTTTTTTGTGAACTATTGAACACTACTTTTGCTACTAAGTTCTTAAAATATTGTAGTTTTTTATGAACACCCAAGCATACTGAAATGTCTTGTTAACTTCATAAATACTGTTTTAATAAATTTATAGTCTACTAGAGTTTTTAAATGTATTTTTGTTGTTGTTGTTGTTGTCCATGAAGCACTTCAGTTTCTTATTAACTTTAAAATGTGTACGGTTATTTGTTAATATGGGCTGGAATAGCTTAACATCATAAATGACTGATTTATTGTCAACTTAGGAATTATGATTTATGTCAAAGCAACTATAATTTGTTTATAATGTTTTACAGTTTAGACAAATTCAAGTTCTTTTTTACCGGTAATTTTGTAGGCACTCTGTTTCATATAGTAAGTTGCAGATAGGTAGCACTAGATAGCTAGTCCTGGAAAGGATACTTTTGCTCATAATCCATACTGAGTGGCATTGGTATTCATGTAAATCCATAACCTTCTGTCAAATGTACTTTTCAGTCAGTTCTGACACAGATGATCTTCCATACCATGTTAAACTATCCAGCACTTCTTACTCTCTCTGTCTCCTTCTGCCTCTTCTCCCCTCCTTCTTTCCCACCTTCATATTGTACTCGTTTTCTGCTTTTCATGACATGACTAAATAATGTAGATTGCCTCCTTCTGACGAGGTATAGTAGGACATTCATAAAGAAAACCTGATAACAGCATAGCTTGAATGTCCCTGCACTGGACAAACCTGTACAATAATAGGCATAAGGTTAGTTGCATATCCTTTACAGGACGTTGCAGAACCAACCCCAACAGCCCCTGGCTGTTGTGCGGTTTTTCTAGGCAAATTTACGTCCAGTAGTTTGCTATTGCATTCTGCATGGTCGGCTTTCTTGATACCACTGTCGAAACCAATGCAAGATGCATGGCCTGCAGCTGGCATCCCGACATTACGAAGCGTTTGCATCGACTTAGCCACAGAGCCAACAATAAAAGGCATACAGTTTATTTTCTAATGTATGGATACAAGTTACTTTTTTAAACGCCCTGTTGACAGACAATTGTATAATCATTGTTGGTGGTTGTGTTCACATTTGTTTAGAGTTGTTTCCTCTTGTTAGAAAAGAGATGACAAAATTGTCATTGGTCCTTCAGTATTTGTTTCTTATGCAAAAAAATTGATCAAAATATTTGTATTGGTCCTTTCATGTTTGTTTCTTGTCATAAGAAAGATCACACCATTTCATACCATTTTTTTTAAATTTGTCCTTCCACAGCTCCTTTCTTCATTAAACATCTCCCCAAGACCATTGATGTCATGCAGGGCATAGATGTGAGACTGGACTGCATACTGCGCAGAGGAATTGAACTTGTCCGCTGGTCATCATCCCAGTCCCCATCTCATGATCTGGAAAAGTCCAGAAAACAACTAGCAGATGAAGGTTTCCGTGGAGAGTTCATTCCCATGGAGACGAGGTCACAGGAACAGGCAGCCCCTCCTCCTAGGGAAGACAAAAAGTCAGGTAATAAAACCTAAGACAAGTCAAACAAGCAGTGTGGGATGTCAGCTTTCTGCAGACAACTTCTTTGTCTTCCTCTTCTTCTTTTTCTTCACGTTCACTGGCTGTAAACTCCAGCGGAAAGTTTTGTTTTTTCATCCACTTCTGGATTATAGTAGTATTCCAGAACTTGAGTTTTGCATGCATATGTTTGACAGATCTGGGGCTATTTGTATGCAGATGTGTGGTTTTTTTGCCTCTTGAGCAGATGCACTCTGACTCTAAAGAAATTCCCCTAAATAGTCTACTCTTATGACATGCTTGTTAGGGAGGCAATGCATCTGATTCTTTTCTTTTCGCCCCAAAATAGGGTCCTGGAAACTACACAGGAGATTTTAGATAACTAAGATTCATTATCGCTATGCTTGACCTCACCTTTCATCTATAAGCATCTTTGTGATAACATTCATGCTTGAAAATCCACACTGAGTGGAATTTATTCACTATAACTGTCTACAGCCTTATGTCCCACCACACTGTGATGCCAGATTGACTAACATCTTCTCTGTTATTGTTCCCTTACCTCTCCTTCTTTCCAGTTTTCATGTTGTCACTGTGTGTTTAGTTTTGCTCTTCTCATGACATGCCTAAAGAGCGCGTATTTGCCTTTTCTAGTGTGGTTGTGGGGTGCCGGGTTTTCTTTCTCATCATCAGTCAGTCTCAGCTAATATCCAGAACTGTATCATGAAATAGAAATGAGAAATAAAGGTGACTGAGGAAATAATAAGGTCAAAGAAAAACCCTAAAAGGAATGTTGACAATAGAAGCCAAAGGTGCTGGACTGAATTCCATCTGTGATATCACACATGATGGAATAGAATGGAAGAATAGGCTATAAGCCCTATTTCAAATCTAATCGCACAAGAGGACAATTATGATGATGATGTGAACATTTTCTAGTACCTAACTCAGAAAAAATGTTACCACTCCAAGAGAATAAACGACAATTACCGCTTCAGAAATCACTTTTTCACATCAGCTGTTGCTATTATCGTAGGGTTCAAACCTTCATCATGTGTGAAAAATTATGTCTTTTGAAAGAAACGAATATTCCTTTGTAGCTTATGTTGTCTGTAATATCTAAGATTCTGAGATGGTCAATCTTTCCTTTGTGTACAATGGTTAACAATCCTATTACAGTGCTTTTATGTGTATTAAACACACAGTGCTAGCCTCACAGTTTTGTAGACCATTGAGCACTCAGTGGATGATTTGATCATTACCACATTGGCCACCTTTGCTTCATAGGACATTTCCGAGTTTCAATTAGGCTGGGTTGACATGAGTGGTGAGGTCAGTATCAATCTTAAACAGATGCTTCCATGGAGATTTGATGTTCACCAGTCCAGCAGGTAAAGCATATAATATTTAGTCAGTCAGTCATCCTTTATTGATTTCTTAAGCAGTCATTATTAGATGTCTTAAATCAGGGCTATTCAACTGACAAACCCTGGGCTACATCTGGCTCGCAGAGGCCTAGCAAGTGACCCATGGATCACCTGCCAAATGTATAGAACTAATGATCTTCCCATGCCTCTGGCCCACATGATTTCCAGTTTCCAACATTTTGGCCCCTGAGTCAGTTTAGTTGAATGGCCCTGTCTTAAATAGTTACTTTTTAACTAGACAGTCATGTTTTGAACTACCCAGTCACATGTTTACTGTTGCCTGTTATAGACCAGGAGAAGAGGTTAGAGTACCCCAGCTTCCCCACCACACCCCGTGACTTGGTGAGACCAGTTGGAGGTGAGGCCGTGTTTGAGTGTTCCACAGCTGGAACCCCAGAACCGGAGATTAAATGGTGAGCTGCTTGTTTGTTGAGGTAGCATGTTTTGTTCTTCTCTGCTTCCTTCTTTCCTCCCCACTTTTTTCTTTTTTTTAATTCCCTATTGGAACAAAGGCCCTCAACCAGCTTGTGCCAAAATGCTCTATCCTTTGCCGTCTCATGCAGCTGACCCCCATACCCTCTCTATCTTTTTCTCCTCATCCTCTCATTTCATTTTCTGTTCTTTTTTCTTTTCTTCCTCTGACCCAATGGGTTCCAGTGCAATAACATTGTAGTTGTATTGTTTGCCTGTTTTATTATTGTTTATTAATTACTTTCTTCTTTAAACAATAATCAACAAACTTGTTTGTTGTTATAGAAATTGCTGACTTTTGCAGTGCTTTTCTCAACAACAAACACACACTTGTTTATTGTGAAAGCATCATTCTTTTTCTCATATTACAAGCTATGTGGCATTGGTCATCATGCCTCTCCACAACCTTCTGTCTTGTGTACTACCAGTGATAATGATAAAGATGTTCCTCCTAGACAGAATGCCAGAATGTCTAACATTGTCTTTCTTATTTTTTTTTTATTTTTTTTTTTGGGTTTACTTAATGTATATCCTACTCTGATTTCTTTTTAATTGTATCCAGTTTTCTAACATGTTTTGTTTGTTATTTTTGTTAAATACTTCGTCAACAGATCATCATCATTGTACATCAAAACATTTTCTCCATAAATGTCAGATCCCCTCTGCAGCATTTAGCAGCCAGCAACACCAGTTTGTGTTGGTTTATTATTATTATTATTATTATTATTTTTTTTTTTGTTGGCTTTATTCCTAGTGCTCTTATCTGGCATCAACACTTTTCAGTTGCTGTTCTATCAGTTCAGTCAAAGTTGAGATTCACAGCTTTTATGTTTTAAGTGATTGTTATTGTCTTCTTGACCTGTTGCTAATGTTGACATCTGTATTCTTCCAGGTATAAAGATGGTCGGGTACTGATTGCCACTGAAGGAGTCAGAATGACAACAGAAGGCAACAGACACAGACTTGAGCTGAGATCTGTCCTCAGATCTGACCAGGGAGAGTATGTCTGCAAGGCAACCAATCTGGCGGGTACCAAATCTTGTGGAGCTGTACTGACGGTTACAGCTGGTAAGAGTATGCTCCCTGTATTCTTTGTTACTGGTGTGTTCTTTTTAAAGAGAGATATTCCTGGAGGCCTTGTGAAAATCTTCTTCCACTCTTTAGCCATAGATTTATTATAAAACACCCTTTTTTCAATCCTTTGGTCTAATTGGGTATATTGTGCAAGACCTCTATTTTTAGACCTATCAGCTGGCTGCCTTTACTTCCCATGACTTAAATGGTACAGAGGCATAGTCAGCCTGGGAGCCAAGATCATTTTATTTTGAAGTCCGGCTACATTTGGGTTTGTACCCATAATTTTCAGGGAATTTCTAGCCACTACACCATGGTGGCTTCTTGAATGTATCATAAGCTTTCACCTTAATCACAAAAAGCTAACCTAACTTTAGTCATCTTGTGCAGTTGGCTTAGTGTCCCCCTCACTCCACCCCACCCCCATGTGTTTCTCTTTTTTATTCTTAGTGTCACCGGCTGTGAACTCAGATGGAAAGTTCTGGTTGTTCGTCCACGTCTGAACTTTGATCTTGTTTCAGATCTTCAGTTTTGCATATACATCTGTTTTATAGATCTAGCTGATTTGTATGCAGTCTGTTTATTCCCCCCCCCCCCCCCCCCCCCAGGAATGGGATCTCAGAACTCATGAAGGACTTGTGTGTTTCTTCATATTTATATGTTGTGTTTTTTAAATTTATTTCTTTGACCCTGGGTATAGCTGTATTATTGTCAGGTTTTTTCACTGTTTGAATAGGGATGTGAAAAATGCTACACTTTTTAAGATCATTGTTAGCTATGTGTTTATCTGTAAAAACTTGCTTGTTTAATGCTTCTCATCCTGTGAAACATGTGATGTATAACTGCCGCTTCCAGGTGAATACCCATCACTCCTTAGTACGTTCTCATACTTTGTCCATTTGGTCAAAGCAGCCCAAGAAATCTTACTTCCCTACTTACTGCCCCCACTTTGTATTTAACCTCTTTAAAGGAAACAAACTTATGATGTTTTTTATTAGTCATTTGAGAATTAGATGTGAAACCTTTGACTTGAAGAGTTAACCCTATAGTTAAGAGATTTGTGAACATGGCTTTTGGGCAGTGGTATGAGAATTACACCTTGGAAGAGATTAGGGCTTCAATGCGTAAATATTCCTTAAGTCAAAACAGTGGATTCTCATATCAACTGTAGCTTACCTCCATTGAGAAGACAGCACATTTTGCTAATAGTTAATCATTTTAGTTATCAGCAAGGATGATTTCCAACTGTTCTTCTCCACAGATTCCTCTGAACTGAGACCCTCTAAAACACAAGTTGGAGAAGATCAGCAGTCATCGTCAGACAGCAGAACACAAGAACAACCAGCCAGGTGACTATGAGTTGTAAAATGTTATCCTAGGATTGAAACAGCAGTGTATGCTTTAGGGAACAAGTACATGGCTCTTTTAATGTCATGCACCTATTAGGCATCTGGTGTATGGCGTGGGGAAAGGGGGGGGGGGGTAGCGCTGGGGCATTAATCGCCCACGAGCTGCTAATTGAAAATGTTGACACTGTGAGGTCAGAAGATCTCACTCTAATGGCAGATCAACAGAATCTGAAGGTTTGACACCTAAACTAAAGAATCTTAGTGTTGATGGCAGACCAACAGGTCCTGAAGGTTTGCCAGTGATACTGAAGAATCTTAGTGTTGATGGCAGATTAACAGGACCTGAAAAGTTTGACACTGAAAACTAATGAATCTCATTGCTGACAGCAGATCAACCAGACCTGAAGGTTTGACACTGAAACTAAAGAATGTTAGTGCTGATGGCAGACCAACCAGACCTGAAGGTTTGACACTGAAACTAAAGAATGTTAGTGCTGATGGCAGACCAACCAGACCTGAAGGTTTGACACTGAAACTAAAGAATGTTAGTGCTGATGGCAGACCAACCAGACCTGAAGGTTTGACACTGAAACTAAAGAATGTTAGTGCTGATGGCAGACCAACCAGACCTGAAGGTTTGACACTGAAACTAAAGAATGTTAGTGCTGATGGCAGACCAACCAGACCTGAAGGTTTGACACTGAAACTAAAGAATGTTAGTGCTGATGGCAGACCAACAGGTCCTGAAGGTTTGACACTGAAACTAAAGAATGTTAGTGCTGATGGCAGACCAACCAGACCTGAAGGTTTGACACTGAAACTAAAGAATGTTAGTGCTGATGGCAGACCAACCAGACCTGAAGGTTTGATACTGAAACTAAAGAATGTTAGTGCTGATGGCAGACCAACAGGTCCTGAAGGTTTGACACTGAAACTAAAGAATGTTAGTGCTGATGGCAGACCAACAGGACCTGAAGGTTTGACACTAAAACTAAAGAATGTTAGTGCTGATGGCAGACCAACCAGACCTGAAGGTTTGACACTGAAACTAAAGAATGTTAGTGCTGATGGCTGACCAACAGGTCCTGAAGGTTTGACACTGAAACTAAAGAATGTTAGTGCTGATGGCAGACCAACCAGACCTGAAGGTTTGACACTGAAACTAAAGAATGTTAGTGCTGATGGCAGACCAACAGGTCCTGAAGGTTTGACACTGAAACTAAAGAATGTTAGTGCTGATGGCAGACCAACCAGACCTGAAGGTTTGACACTGAAACTAAAGAATGTTAGTGCTGATGGCAGACCAACCAGACCAGAAGGTTTGACACTGAAACTAAAGAATGTTAGTGCTGATGGCAGACCAACCAGACCTGAAGGTTTGACACTGAAACTAAAGAATGTTAGTGCTGATGGCAGACCAACCAGACCTGAAGGTTTGACACTGAAACTTAAGAATGTTAGCGCTGATGGCAGACCAACAGGTCCTGAAGGTTTGACACTGAAACTAAAGAATGTTAGTGCTGATGGCAGACCAACAGGACCTGAAGGTTTGACACTAAAACTAAAGAATGTTAGTGCTGATGGCAGACCAACCAGACCTGAAGGTTTGACACTGAAACTAAAGAATGTTAGTGCTGATGGCAGACCAACAGGTCCTGAAGGTTTGACACTGAAACTAAAGAATGTTAGTGCTGATGGCAGACCAACCAGACCTGAAGGTTTGACACTGAAACTAAAGAATGTTAGTGCTGATGGCAGACCAACAGGTCCTGAAGGTTTGACACTGAAACTAAAGAATGTTAGTGCTGATGGCAGACCAACCAGACCTGAAGGTTTGACACTGAAACTAAAGAATGTTAGTGCTGATGGCAGACCAACCAGACCTGAAGGTTTGACACTGAAACTAAAGAATGTTAGTGCTGATGGCAGACCAACCAGACCTGAAGGTTTGACACTGAAACTAAAGAATGTTAGTGCTGATGGCAGACCAACAGATCCTGAAGGTTTGACACTGAAACTAAAGAATGTTAGTGCTGATGGCAGACCAACAGGACCTGAAGTTTTGACACTAAAACTAAAGAATGTTAGTGCTGATGGCAGACCAACCAGACCTGAAGGTTTGACACTGAAACTAAAGAATGTTAGTGCTGATGGCAGACCAACAGGTCCTGAAGGTTTGACACTGAAACTAAAGAATGTTAGTGCTGATGGCAGACCAACAGGTCCTGAAGGTTTGACACTGAAACTAAAGAATGTTAGTGCTGATGGCAGACCAACAGGACCTGAAGTTTTGACACTAAAACTAAAGAATGTTAGTGCTGATGGCAGACCAACCAGACCTGAAGGTTTGACACTGAAACTAAAGAATGTTAGTGCTGATGGCAGACCAACAGGTCCTGAAGGTTTGACACTGAAACTAAAGAATGTTAGTGCTGATGGCTGACCAACCAGACCTGTAGGTTTGACACTGAAACTAAAGAATGTTAGTGCTGATGGCAGACCAACAGAGCAAGCCCAGTTAACCTGTTCACCCTCCAATAAAGTTATAACTAGCCTCCCCCCCCCCCCCGCCCCCTAACGGCCACACCAGCCAGTGTAACCCAAAGTCTTGTATGGGGTGTCATTGTTCACTCCTTTTATCATGGTCCATGTAGACACATAGGTGATTGTTGAAATACAGCTCAGAACAGTTCACAGTAGAGACACCATTTTTTGTATGCATAATTTGTTTGTTTCGGTGTTACTCTAAGAGACACTTTGTGTTGACAACCGGCACTTTTTGTTACAGACAAAAGAATCAAAGGTTGAAATGTCCCATTATAAATCTAAACACCTTTTGGAGAAATTACGGTGAACAGTTCTTAAATTGTAGAGCGAATAATTTTGCAATTTAAAAATGAATAATTCTGAAATTTTATAGTGAATACTTCCGAATTTATATGCAAAAGATAATCATTTAAGTTTGTATGTATGCATATTTGTGTGAGTGCACACACACACATCTTTTTTCAAATAGTTATACTAATTGTGCTTCTGTTTATTCTAACTGCAGACAAAAGACAGATACAACAACGGAAAAGAAAGAAAAGCCAGCATTCAGACAGACTCTTCCTAAAACAGCCAATGCTAGCCAAGGAGAAGATGTCCACCTGACCTGTGAACTGACCTCGTCAGAAGGGGCTAGCATTAAATGGGAGCTGGACGGTAAAGAGGTTAGTAACATTTTGTCACTGTTACCCATTAGCTAAGTACAGTGAATAAATATCTGTGTGTGTTGATGTGCTGTATGTCTGGTATTGTTGCAGTTGTGTGGCTGTGCTGTGTGTTTGTACTGTTGCAGTTGTGTGGTTGTGCTGTGTGTCTGGTACTGTTGCAGTTGTGTGGTTGTGCTGTGTGTCTGGTACTGTTGCAGTTGTGTGGTTGTGCTGTGTGTCTGGTACTGTTACAGCAGTGTGGTACTGTTATACCTGTGTAGTTGTGCTAGGTGTCTTGTACGATTATATCTGTTATGGTGTGTGCTGTGTCTGGTACAGTTGTAACTGTGTGGGTGAGCTTTGTCTGGTACTGTTGTAACTGTGTGGTTGTACTTGTTTCTGGCACTCAAATAATTGTGTGAGCAACCTATGCATCTAGTACTGTTTTAAC